GGTTTCTTATGCGCCCTACCTCCCGACGCTTGAGCACGATTCTCCTTGTTGAGCTGTTTGCACTTTTTCATCCAGGTCCTGAACCAATGCAACTATTATCGATTCCTTACTTCGCACCGCCCAATCCTACCGTGCACTTGAACCTAGATATTGATTTCGCGTGCATGCAATCAATATCCATTTTCCCGTGCCTGCAGTGGTAGAGCGGTCACGAACTTGTCTACAGTGTAAAAGTAGCGTTGAACAACTCCTACCTGTTGTACAACGCTCTGACGTGCAGTTCTCAACTGATCCTCCTCATCCTGTCTTGCAGTCTGTATTCTATGTCCAGATGGTCTTCGTCTTGTTGGAGGGGCAGCCGTGAAAGTACTCCGAGTATTTTGCGTTGCTGTGGCCGGCCCAGGAATTGCTGTTCTAGTGCTCGGGGGATTTCCAGCCTGTTGCGACCACGACTGCTGCTCTTGCCTAGAAGCGCTCACCGGAGGCGGTCTCAGCTTGCTTCCTGTTTGGCGCATCGAACTCCTCATTTTATCTTTCAGCTGATGTAGTTTCCCACCAAATTGCTGAAAACCATTAGTTCATACAGTTATAGTTGATTTGAGGACTTCTTAGTCAAAGGAAAAAGTGCTTACGTCATCTTCATAGGCCAACATCAGCGCCAATATGAGAAAGAGCGCCAGCAAGGCGATTGCAATCTCTTGAATCATCCTGCTGGAGAAGCGGCCTACCGCGTAGGTTAGTAATGGTTAGTAAAATGCATCACACCGCGCCTTTATCCATTCACGTCGTAATCACTCGTGCTATCAGCGGAGGAGATGGGCAAGAGAATCGTAAGTTGCCGCTTCGTCGCACGCGGCAATGGGCGCGACGTTTCCTTGATTTGCGCTACCCTTTCGATTGGAGCATCGGATTTCATGTAGACAAGGACATGGTGGACACTTATGTCTATTTTTGGTCATAAATTGTCGTTCTCAACCAATACCGCCTGAAATCGTCGTCTAGCGAAAGGGAGCAAGGAACCGGGATATTTAACCAACCTTACGATAGTTGCAGTGCCAAGTTTAGAAGCTGTTGCTATCACCGTGATACTGCGATTTAAGGGAATGGTAATAGCAGGCATAACAGAAGAGGAAGTCCAGACTTTGTGACCTGCCGCTTAAATCGCACGTAGGAGCAATTGAGCGATCGAAGCAGTTGTGCCATTAGTAATCAACCAAAGGGGACTTGGCGGAACCTCGATGGCTCCACAGTTGAACCTTCGCATGAAAAGAAATGTTGTCAGATCGATACCAAATATGATGCGAAATTTCTGCACAGAGCCATACACTTGATCGATTCGAGATGGGGAGGGGGGGAGGGGGCGTACCGCACATGTGAAACCCGAAAATCGCGATAATCAAACAACGGGAAAGAATTTTCCCAACGCCGCAAATTTCTCTCAGAAGGCGGATACGACCTCCTCTCCCCACAGTGAGGCAAAACACGACCCTCCCCTATTCGATGCGTGAAACAAATTATCACTATCAGAAAAAAAATTTTCTTCAGGCAAGATACCCCATTCCCCCTCCTCAGCGACGAAACACGAAACCCCCCCCTGTTGGGCGAATCCCCAGCAATGGTGTGCCCTGATCCTGCATCCTGCCTGAATTTCGGTTGCCACCGGCTTCACATTTCCAAAAGTTCAAGCATGCATAGAACTTTTGATTTTTATGGCTTCTGTAGCTCACTCCTACCCGCAACCTTTCGAGACCAGTAAAATTGGCCTTCTTACAAAGATCGCGAGAGTCTCTGATTCCCTGTGAAGGCCAAAACAGGTAGCTGTGTATGTTTCTCTCTACAGAAGGTCCCCGTTGATTAGTCTGAATCCGCTAAAATGACGAGATGGAATCAACACGTATACTTTCTTTTGTTAACGTGCTCTGGAATCGGAATTCTCTGATAGCCTCGATTGCTCTGGAGGTTAGCATTGTGTGCGATGTTCTTCTTGGAAGAGACTTCTTTTCTTCTTAACGCTCAGAATCCTGCTTTAATAACTGAACATCCCGCGCTGAAGCAGTTCAGTAGGTCGGCCTTTCTTCTACAAGTAGTCTTGTCCTCAGTCTCCCAGATTATCCCATTTTCGCGAATTCACAGCCAGTAATGAAGGTGCTGCGGCGGCCTCATAGTCTGCAGTTCTCACTCCTTTCCCGACATAGTTCGTATCGCCACACTCAAAGTTCGAAAGTGCTTTTTTCTGTCACGAGTCCAGTTTTTACATTCGCGTTTTCCGTTTTCACTCATTGGACGCGATATAGCACTGGATGACGCAACGAAACGGTTAGTGAGCCAGAGGCGGCAGGATATCGCTCTGCTGGCCTACAACGGACAGCCCCGGAGAACTCGTCCAGAAAGGCTGCCAGGTCCTTAAGATGTTCTCAATTTTTTTTTGCTTTTCTCCTCTTTGTGGAGTCATTTAGCGATTATAGGTTTGCAACTAAACACACTATCCATAATATTCAGTCGTGTGGGACAAGCTAAGCGACGACCTGGTTGATGTTACTCGTTCAGGCGGACAGCAGATTTCCTGAGAGGAAAGCTATTATGCCCGTAGGGAGGGGTCCGTCCGGCCCGCTACCTTGCTCCCACTAGACGATTGTCCTGCATGTCTTCCTACCTCCTTACTGCATTCCATCCAGCAAGTTTGATGCCAGCTCGCTAATCAACTGAAAGAACAGCACATTGTGGAGAGTCTCAGTGGGAAAGCACCCACGGGATATGATGGTCTAGACACAGGATTCCTGCAAAGGTAGGGCATCTTGAGGCAGCGGCTTGTGAGAGCACCCAGACCAGATTTTCCTTCAGCTATTGCGGGCTCAGGAAGGAATCATTGGTAAAAAAAGGCGCCCTGGCTGCGCTTCACTACGTGCTGCATCAGATGCCCTATCGCTTACAAGGAAGGGATCATGACTTCACAATACAGCGCCCCACAATTCTGGATGGGCTTGTACTTGTAAGATTGATAACGAATTCGAAAACTCAGCTGACATGTAGAACTCTTCATTGCACAAAATAAATGAAACGAATACAAATCACCGAGCTAAACTCATACAACGCTCATCACGCAAGATCACAGACTGAGAAACAACTTTGTACAAAGGTAAACCTAATCATAATCATGAAGCGTTATTTACAAATCATCACAAATATACATAACGCCTATTATTCGGTAGCTGTATTGGTAGCTTGCTCTGAAATGAAATACCATAATAGGAATACAAACCAGTTACCGATACAGAAAGAAAACCTCCTTATCATTTACACACTTGCCCATCTGTCGAAATTCAGCGCACAATTTTGACCAAAAATTTCCCCGTGTGTGGGTCGCTTTGTAATCGCCGCCACAGTAATTTGACCCCCCCCAAACAAGAACACCACCTCCGCTTAGCGCTCAGCTAAAAAATCAAATAGGGTAAGCTAAGAATGACGCCAAACTGGTCTGCAGCGCCAGCGCCAGACGTCTTAGCTCTAAGCTGATGTGATAATGTTATTTCGGCGGTAAATAGCCCGACAGACAGGCTCTCGGACAAATCCATCCCAAAAGAAAACTTCGGGGCAGTTCGGAAACGTAGGGAGAGGGGGAGGGGCATTTTGCACTTTTGCTCCTTCCCATCGACGTGTCGACCCATTTAGAGGTTCCTTCGTGAGCTTACAAGAGTTGACAGGTTTTACCAGTGGCTCGACGAGCTTGCTCCAGCTTCACAAGAGTTCACAGGTTTCACCAGAGTGAGACTTGTAAACCGGAACTAGTGAAGCAGCGAAAGTGCAAAATGCCCCCCCCTCGTCGCCGAACTGCGCCAAAATTTCGTTTGAAATGCGGCTCGATTTCGAAGACTGGTTTGGTAAGTGGTAAGTAAAGTGCCGAGATCTCCAATCGAAAATGCGCATTTCTCCGAAAAGGGCTATTGGGCATACCAACAGCAACACTACGAATGTGGCTGCGAGCGGTCGCGAAGCGGCGACCACGGTTTCAGCTACCACAACCCACTATAGATGAGCAAACTAGGTTAGGAAGCCGAAAAAAGTTCGCATGAAAAGATAGGTAACCAACAGTGTCGTAAAGTAAACCCGACTTCATCGCAACCGCAGACATCCACGTCCCATATGCCGCATTTGTCGAAAATCTATTATTCAAGAAAAGCGTGCTATGCTCAAGAAATGACTGCGCTTTCAGAAGCCTTTCTCCAAATTTCACATTAATCCCTTCGGCATTTTTCAAATACAGAAAAATTCAGAAACAAGAAATTTTGAACGGCTCACCTCTTATCGGCTCCTCTGACTCCCCACTTGATCTGCTCGACCTCGACAGCATGGACGTCAACGAACACGCTTCCATTGTTTCTTTCTCTTCACGAGCCAGCTGAACATAAGCGAAAGAATTATTATTATCAGAGTTAAAGGAATAAGCATAATTGTGTTACTGTTATAGTAACTATCATCATATCACATTCAGCACATGAAGCGGGAAATGTTAGGCAGCGTTCAGACTTCGCGACGGCAGCGCTTCGGTCGCGCGTTCGACGCGATCGATGCAGTTGAAAGCATGCGCATCGATCGCGCCAAAGCGCTGCCGTCGCGAAGTGTGAACGCCGCCTTAGGCTTACATGGATGTAGATGCCAAATGATTCCCTTGTGAAAAAAAGGCGAAAAAACTTTCGAAAGTGCCTTAAATAACAACCCTCTTTCCAGATGCTTCTGAGCAACCTGCTAATAGCGACGAAGAAACACTTAGCGCCCGAAAGAGAAGTCAGATAACTAAAGAGGGAGCGAGAGCGCACAGACTGGTCTCTCAGTCATCATTTCACCATCAGTTTATCACAGCCCCTCGCGTCTTTCCTAGTGACGGGAATGGTGTAGTCTCTGTGGACCTGCTCACATTATGCATTGAAGAGATTTGATCTCTCAAAACTCCTCCTTCCGTCGCTTGATTTCTCCTTCAGGCGCTCATTGTTCCTTCGCGGTACATCCGCAAGTTGCTCAGAATCAACTGGAGAAAGAGAGTTTAGGGCATATTCTCGATTTTTTTGGTCTTTTTCCAATGGGGAGCGAACCACTTAGGACCTAGAAGTTCATATTTGAGCCGCAACATTCCCCTCACACAATGGCTTTAGAATGATGAATAAGCGCAAACAAAACAAGCAGTCGATCAGAAGGGCAGCCTACAAGAAACATATCTACCATATGCAAGACCATTAGTAACTGACCTGTTCCTTTAGCTTTTGATACTCCTGGGATGGATACGCTGCCATAACTTTCCGGAATTCTTCAGTCAATTCGGCTTCCTCACTTAAACATCGCCATCAGTTCATAAGTTGTTTTTTTCAAGCATTTGGGGTGGGGATCTGCACTTTTTCGCTAGCTCCCTTTGTCGGGCAGAGCCATTGAATTGAAGCCATGAAGTCATACGAGACAAAGTTCGGAGAGACTTATCAACTTGAGTAAAACAATGAGCGCGACGACAGGAAGTAAGCGCAATGTATCCCCCAAGCCTAACTGCGCCATTTTTTATGAAGAAAAAAAATTAACAAGTCAAATAGACCACAAAAACTTACAAACTGAGCCTTCTTTCTATCTCGTCTATCCTACTCGATAACGCATGTTGACGCTCGATTAGTTCCCTTACTCGAACTAATGATTCTTCCATTGAGCCGAGAGCCTATAAAAAGCTCGCATAACAATCCCATTAAGTTAATCCAGTTGAGTTAATCCACTCCCACATGGGACTTATGGCCTCAAGAGAAATTACCATAATAAAACGATTCAATTACCTGATTACAACCACAGTTCATTATATTCAACGGTGGCACGAGATCTCCAGATGTGTACGCTTCAAATTCGGATCGTTCCATTTTCAAACTTGCATAATTCATATCTTGGACGAATTGCAGGGCACACGACAGATTTGTGAAGAAATATCCTGAAAAAAACCTGTTTGAAAGCACCGTTTGGTATGGTTGTGCGGGCGGACCCATTCAAACGCGTTGCGTATTCGTCTTTGGCGCGCCCGGAATCCACTGTTTTGAAGGAGGGCGCGTCAACGAATAATTCATTGCGGCATGAGCGCACGCGCGCTTCATAGAATCAAGGGTGTTACCAATATCTGAACCCTACCCAACCAAAGAAAAACTGTGAAGTTTGGCTTGGGGGGACACCAGATTGTACTTAGCTAATGTTTGTACATACCACCTGGCCAAAACCTGTAAAGCGCTGTCAGCGAAGTGGCTTACTGGCTCCACTTAACAGCTTTACAGGAGTTTACAGGTCTTACCAAAAAGAGCCCTAAAGAGAACTTCTATTCAACATGAAAGTGCTACAACTTCTCGGACAGAATTTACCCATGAAGGGGAGGGGGGGGGGGAGGTCAGTAATGGGCCAAAAACCGAATCTCCAAAAACAGCTCACCAGATTCACCGCTCATTATCCGTGACGGTAAGGCGAATCGACTGATAAACTTTACATTCGACTGGATCAATGGGGGATTGCCTTTCAGTAGTACATAAATCAGCACCGGAAGAAATTCATCGGCACTCGTCGGAGCACCTAAAAACGATATTTCGAGCAACTTGCGAATGTGCGAAGAAGAAATATTGGGCGAGCGAAAGAGAAATCAGACAACCAAAGGAAGAGAGAGCACACAAAGTGGCGAGACTGCACTTTGCTTAACCTTTGAAGATAAATAAATTTGAGGCTAAATACATCTTGCTATTGTACAAAGGACACTTACTTTATCTCACATTGCAGTTTTGATTGCTCACATCACAAGGACAATACAATTAGTAACTGTAAATTTTCATTCAGCGAATTTCTAGACAGGTTCATTTTCGAGGAAACTGCTCGGTTTTTGTTTTGCACGTCGCTTTAGCTTGGATTTATTAAAAATTCTGCTTTTTTCACTTACCAAGAATCACAGCTGCCCTGAAGCCCGGCAATTCCACGAAACCCCTGCTCTCCCACATTAAAAGCTTCGGCTGCTCTAATAATGCATAGCTTGCACTTTCCTTGGAAATCATCAAGCGACCGGACAGCGCAATAAACGAAGTTTTTTCTAGAATTATTGACTTTCCTCAATAGCTCCAGCTTCTGGAAGCAGCACCGGATAAATAGGGCAGCAGCCTGCAGTCTTTATGTCCAATTATCGAGGATAAAGAAAGGAGCGTTCAGTCTGCGATCCATAAGACAGGCCAGACTTCAAACAGCTGCGCCTTTGAAAGAACACTGCTCCTCGACTATCGCTTCAGGGTTTGGACCAATCTACTCTGGAGTTCACACCAGCCATGAGGCACCTCTTTCCAAACAGTCAGCCAACAAAAGTACAGTAAAAGAGTTATTGAAGTTGTTTTTCTTTTCAAATGATAAATGCTGTTCAACGCCGCCACTGCGCTTGAAGGTTATCACAAGAATGCTCGGTTGTAGGCAAAAGTCTTGACGCAGGCAGGACACCAACCCGCACCACACTCTCGCCAGATGAGCGCTCCACTCGTTCCACCACCTGGACTGCCTCTTACCCTTCCAGCGTGATGGTATTATGCCATAGCCCCACGTTTAGCATAATATCGGCAGGAAAGCGCGAGCGCTAACCGCTTTACGTGTTTTACTATAATAGTTGCTACTGAGCTGTCCCTCCTCCGCAGTTCAGACAAAGCTCTCCTCCTTACGGCTAAAATGAAGAGGGCGCTCCCTCCGCTTCCTGGGAAATACTCGACACCATCTGTCCGCCGCATGCTTTTGTGGTCAGGGCACGTCCTGCTGCTGCAGGTAAACTTTGCGAAATACTACACCTCCCAAAATATCCTCTTCTAGTACGACGTCCTCATAAAGTCCTCATCTGTTTGGATCCCCTTCCCAATTCGCCATCCTATCATCACCTTAGATTTTTCCAACTTTCTACCTCTTTTCCGGAATTCTTTCTACGAAATTCTCCAGTTTTCTCTCGAAAACTGCCGTCGAGCGAGGAAGGTGGGGGAGGGGCAGGGGGAAGGGAGGAAAATAACGCACATGGAACAAAAAAAACCAGAGAATTTAACACCAAAGGCATTTTCCGAGGCCAGAATACGACCCCCCCCCCTCTACGGCGGTCAAATACGACCCCTTCCTTCACTGGAGATCCTCAAGTGTCATGGTTGTGCTAACTTTTACCATTACCCCCTTCAAGCAAGATTCATGACGATGTAGTCTAACCGAACTATTGCCTGAGCATCCTCACGGCCAGTTCAGTATCTTGTAACTACGAAATTCCGCACTTCATAAGCTAATAAACATACAGTTCTTTAATAACGATGATGAGCCAGATCTAATGGTAAACAAGTGAGAGTAAACAATAACAACGAATACTGCTAGTCGACTGATGAGCGAAGATAAATGCAAAGAAAACGACAAAATAGAAAAACAAGCATTTCTTACCGCTTTCTTTGAGAGCTTCAAAGATCTTGTGCGAACACCTAACGAGGCATTGCAGCTTCTCATCCGATCTTCTATGGCTGTTAATATCGATCATTTCGCGATTCGCATCATCGAAGAAGATTTCGTAACCAGAAAAGAAAAATCCGAAAAAACGCGCATATCAAACTGAAAAAGGGATTTTATTGAGAGAAGGTTCGTTGTAACGCTTTCACGTTTTCAGCCTCATCATTAACTGGGTAATAAGATATTACAAAAAGGCCAATGCTGCTGCTGACCAGCCCCTCCCCCCAAAGGAGTATGGAGACGACACCCGGTAGTCACTAACCTCCAGCCCCCTTCTCGAGCACTTTTGCCTGATGAAGGCGGCAGTGCTTGCAGCCAGTGGGACTGGTTCTACCCATATATCAGAGGGACTGAGGATCCACGCAGGTGAAATAATCTCTGCAAAAAGGTAAATTAACTCACAGGCTTGTCGTATTGAAATTGAGCTAGTTCTAGGAATCCGGCTGTTCACCAAATGTTAACGATCCGAATTCAACGAGTCTTGCAAGCGCAGAGATCGCCTCAACTTCTTCATCGAGCTAGAATATATTAATTTTATCGTAAGCCTATGAACATTGCTATTTCGAATAAAATCAGGAAAAAGTACCGGACAGAACTAACCTTGCACAAAAGAGATTATTATAACAGCAAATACATATGTACTTTTCCACTTCGGCAATGACATCATCAACTTTTACTTTATACATTCTGAAACCATGTATTTTCAACGACAGTGGGAGCTCGAGGTGGGAGGGGCAAGACTATAAGTTTAGGAAAACAAGCGGGCTACAGTACCTCCAAAAATGGCGCGTGGGATTAAATATGTCTGGCCGTGAACGCGTACAACTGGGCATATCGTAAGCCGGTCAAATTAACCAAGTTCGAGGCCAGGAAGCGAGGGGAAACGCTAGTCCTCGTCGAACTGCGAAAACCAAGTGCTAATTATGGCGAAGAGAAACTTGAGTAGCAATGTATCACAACAGAGGCTCGCTCGCGGTCAGTTCATCCACCGCGCAGTTTAGGGACTGTATCCCGGCCCATTTTCCTAAATGTATAATTTAGTGGCGACAGCGCGACAAGACCACAACTGTTCCGTCTCTTCTTGTCTTGCCTCTGTCTCTTTCAAACCCTATCTTCGTTGGCTACATACGCCATTTTCCTGTTCGGTGAGAGAACGCAGACAAGAAGATGTGACGTGAAGTGGCATAGTCGTGCCCCTAAGTTGACCCCTTCAACTAAGTTTACCTCTAAGAAATCAAGAAAACTCACTTTCTTGGCTAAAATAAGAGCTTTGGCTCAATTTATCGATGAGATACTGGTAGAAGCTTTGGACTAGTTCAGATAGTTCATCCGGTGTTACTCGAAGCTGAAAAGGACACACATTAGGCTATGCACCACAGTTCATGTCCAAAGGCACGCGAGGCCCCATCGGCAGGACGCGCGGGCGTAGCGTTGCGGGTAACCTTGGCTCTTAACCGACAATAAACAAATAACATTGACTTTCACATTCTTAAGCCTGACCAAAAAAATTGTGAGCTCTTAAAAGACCCCTTGTTAGCACTACTGACCGCAGCGCAACCGCACACGTTTTCCCTCCTACAAATCCGTTCGGATGACCATTACTAAAAATTGAAAATGAAGTATCAAGAAATAATTACAGCGCACGCACTTCATGAATTTTCATTACAGCATATTTCACTTGACGAGTAACTTCTTGTAGAATAGCTGTCGGTAAACTCATCACCAGAAAATCCGTAAGCACTTCTCTAGCTGCCTTGCTGTCGGGACTGAGCTGCCTTGATCTGGAAGGATGGGGATGGAATACGATGTAGACAATTTTACTTTGCAAAAAAAATTCAACTAAAAATTGAATACGAACAACCTATTCAACACTTTTGAGTATGTAAAAACCATTCGCACACTTATTGCCGTACTGTAGCCACTGTTCTATTGCAAATACTTTAGTTGCCAACCCCTTCAGAGCACACTATCGCGTTGAGGAAAATACCAACTAAATACGCCCCCCCCCGCTTTCTCCGATGCAATGAACTGCCAGGGGGGGGCGTCTTCGACCAACTATCAGAAAAAAAGCTTTCCTACTAGTGTAACGGCCAACACAACCTACTCGCCGCGGCCAAATAAGACCCCCATTGAGTTTTGCATGACGGCTGATCTTGTCAGCCCCTCCCTAATGAAATTAAATTCGTTGACAACAAACTCCCTCTATTTCCCAGCCTTTCCGCATAAAATGCTTGAGTCGAAAAAAATCAACTCACTGCCTCGTCGGTGTTCCATTTGGTGATACATGTTGTGCTTGCTGTGCAGACGATAATGAGTCACCTGTAAAACAAAACTATCAATAAATACCACTAAATCGATAGAAATCGTCAATGATACTTTAGGATAAAGCACAAACTCATAGGCTATCTATTCAACCTCAGCTTCCGAAAAATTCGACGAAACTTCCAATGAATATAGCTTTCGGAATTATCTTGCTTTACACTTTTCTGAGGAAGAATTAATCGAACATGGGTATAGCAAGCTAGCCAGCAAAAGTTAGATTTTTGGGGACCTGGGTAAGTTTATACCCTCTGTCGTTGGGAAACCGGAGAACGCGAATACTAACACAATTCGACTTGTCTGACCACGCCCATATGCGGACCAGAGAATTCACAAGAAGGATGAGATACTGATCGATTTCGTAGGCTTCACCCAAGCAGACGCATGGCGGAGTCAATTTTTACCTGATCCTCATACATTCCCCAATCCCCAATAGATACGTCTACGTATAAACGTCGCCGTTGTCTCTCTCGTCAGGGTACAGCCCTGTGATGTGCGAAATAGCCGTGTCAGTACAAGCTCTCAATATTTCCTCATTTGGTACGACCTCCTTACCACACCCTACCTACCATCCATCTCCCTAAATCTTCTTCCTTTCCCGAGGGAGACGGGCAAGAGAATCGTAATTTGCCGCTCCGCCGCGCGCGGCGATGGGCGCGGCGTTTTCTTAACTCGTGTTAACCTGTCGATTGGAGCACCGGACTTCATGTAGACCCCGTCATCGTATTCATGACTATTTTCGGTTCTGAATTGCCTGTTGTCGCCATCTACTACCTGGAACCATCGTCATTTGCGGGCGCGACGTCGCACGCGACGCCCACCAGCGCGGTGAATTACGATTCTCTTGTCACATACCCCTTTCCCGAAATGTCCAAGAAATTTTCCAGTTTGTTCGGGAGGAAGGGAAGTGGGGGGAGGCAAGAGGCGGAGGGATGTTAACCTGCCACCTATGAAATTTGATGAACTTAGGAGAAGCGTCCAGAAACTGGCAAATTTTTCATTGAGCCCGGTAAAACTTCTCTCAAAAACTGGGCTTGGTCTGAAACAATAAATTTGCTCGCCTGAACCCTCGAACTATCTCGGCAGGAGATCACGGACGAGCAAAATTAGTCGGCCCGATGCTTGCACCCCGCATCCAACTAACTCACAGAACCACACCCCTTCGACCGAAGCGACCTCCTGCCCAGTCGACTAAGTCGAATCTCACTAATAGGGTTCTCCAGCGCTGCTGCTGACCAATAGTACCCAGCGCGGCTACATCATGTCAACAGAGGATGAATAATGGGAGTTGCTCGCACTTCGACTACGATCTTTCATAGAACCACTGGAGCAATCTTTTTCCAACTTCATTGTGAAAAATACCCCCCCCCCCGCCACGATCCTAACCGTGCACTTGGTCAAGTTACTTCATAACACTAGTGTGACTCATACAACCCCACTTCACTCTATTATAGTGCGCCAACCTTATTTGAGAGCAAGTACTGATACCAGACAGGTTTTGGTTTGTTTTTCGCTCCCAAAGTCATTTTTTCTACTTTTATTGTCGGCCTACTCATTTTTTCTACTTTTATTGTCGGCCTACTGTAATTTTATTATCCTATGAATCACAATAAGGCATATCGAAGGAACTCCTAACCACATCAAACGGTGAGTTACAAGAATAACCAAACAGATAAAAAAACTCGGTAAAGAGAAATAAAGAAAGGTGCCAGAGAAGAAATAGCTCAGCACGATTCACTCACTTGATGTAGATGCTAGCATCGAAGGTGATCGAAAAATCTTCTTGATCGTCAACGTTCGACTTTCTGTTGCCGCTTTACGTCGCTCTTGAAAGTTGTCAAAACCAAGCAAAGTCCTGAAATATTCATATTTTTATAGAAAGTTCACGAATTTACAAGAAATTAATACCACTATTATGTGATACCGTGCTGTACCGGAAGGATCTATCATCTGGACCAACAACTGTTTGGATGACCGAAATTAGGAGCTTAAAAGGGTAGCGACCAGCATAGATAACAGGCTTCGTCACTGTGATTATTCAACTTTCTTTCAACATCAACACGTCTACGACAGCACGTGTTTGGCGTGGACTACCACGTGGAACTGGGCCTGTATAGCCCGAATCATATGGCCCAAAAGGACATGCCATAACGATGAGGTAAACTGGAAGTTCAGCACGATCCCTTCCTTTGCCTTCAGATGCGGCACCTTTTCCCTTTCCATCCGTCTTCTAGTAGAAAGAGGGTGTGTTGTAATACCACCCCACTGAAAACGGTGAACCGATCCCTATTCTTTCAGTGTTCCCGTACAATAATCAAATCCCCTATTCCCTTGCGACTCGGATAAAAACCCCCACCTGTAGATTTCGTCAACGTCCGACGTACCTAAACCGAAATGGAAAACTTTCCAAAGGTCACAACGAACCCAAACGAGAACTATAATATGGATCGTAATCCAGCAGAACTGGCTGAAGACATTGTTCTTTGTGGAAGTGGCAGTCACTTTAAGA